TTTCTGGCCGGCGCTCACACAGCGCCCACGGAAAACAGCAGCTTCCCACGAGGGCAGCGGGGCCGGGTAGGGAAAAGGCCCCCGGATTCGGCAGTCCCCAGAAGCCAAGGCAGGGGTTATCGCGTGGCGCTTTGCTGCTGGTTACTGCGGAGGGAGAAACCATGCTTTTCTAAGCATATATATGCAACACGGCTACCTCTTCGAAATGGTACCACTGAGCAGCACAAGAAGCTGAAATCTATGCAAGGAAAAGAAACAGAAAGGTTACGCAGGCGTCCCGGGTGAATGGGTCCTTTCAAGGGATGTGTTTTTGCTGAGAAAGTTACCCCAGTATGAAAAGAAATGCTGTTTGCATGAGGTAAGGTGCAGCTTCAAGCTCTACATGGCCAACACGCGCAATGCAAACCTCGGAAAGGGAAGAGCATAAGGATTGTTCCTGCTTTTGCAAGGAAGCTCCTGCAGGAACATGGGCAAGGGCGGCCTCAACCCAAAGTTGAAGCCAACGCTCTTAATCCCAGTTTCCTCAGTTGAAAAACGACCTCAGGAATCAAGGCTGGGCACTAAACTTGATAATTCCCTTCTTGGAGGCACCCGAGGGAAGGTGGCAGCTCAAACCTGACATCTCCATGTGCTCTCCGACAGCCCTGGGAGAAAGAGGAGCAAAATAACCCCGAGTGCCCCCGACGCAGCTCGTTAAATAAACGAGATCGTCTCGGTGATGGTTTCAGCAGCGGCGAAGGATGGAGCAGCCCACGGAGGCGGCAGGACTGAGCGGGGGAAAGTGGAGAGAAGTGGGCACGAGGCCTGAGAAAAGGAGAGCGAGCTAGAAATATCCAGCATCTGTTCCCGACTCTCTTCCATGTTTTTTCCTCCATTATCCTGCTCACAGCCCCAAGCCTTTGGCCTTTCTCCTGCCCCAGTCCGAGACACGGGCGTGGAGACGCTCCGGGCCTCGTTACGGAGCCGCCTGGGACTCAGGGAACACCCTGGAAATCCAAGAATCCTGTAAAAAAGCCACAATTTAAACTAAGGAGCATTAAAAAAATCATTGAACAAATAAAGGAAAAAATACCTTATGGCTCAGTGCAACGGCTGGAAAAAAACAAGGGTGCAAGAAGAGCTAAGCGCTGTGAAAAGTGAGTGAAATACCAGCCTGCAGTGTGTTCATTTTATTGCTTTTCCTGATGTTTCAGAGCAAAAACATCCTGGGGGCGGGGGGAGAGCAGTTTTTTTTGTTATCTCGAGTTTCCCAGCAGAAGCCAGGGGCAGAGGGCAGGATTTGCTGGGAGCATTTAGCACCTCCGCGTCGAGGAGGTCTCGGAGAGGAGAACGCTGCGGGATTTTCTGGAGAATTCCTCCCCTGTTACCTGTGGAAAAGCTGGAAAGAGGCTAGTGCCTCGGAGCAGGCTCTTCTGGCACACAGGATCCTGCCCATTTGAAAATGAATCCCGCAGTTGGCCTGAGCCCATCGATTTTATAGTTCTGCATTGCTAGAGCTTGCCACAAAAACACCTCAAGGATCGGAAATTTCAGCTCATCCCTGCCCCCTAAACAGCAAGAGCTGGTCAAGAAATACAAAACTGCTCATTTTTGCATGGCCTGGTCGTTGGGAATGCAGGTTTACAGCTAGCAGAGCTACTTAAGGGATCTTTCAAATAAACTCTTAAAGGATTTCTATTCCTCTAGAAGGATAAAATTGAGGTCAGATGGAAGGTATCTGCTGCCCTGGGAGCGCTCTGCTTTTTAAATAAGGCAGAGTCCTCGGGGATGTGGCAAGATAATATATTTAATCACCACGATTACATAGCAATCGAGAACAAGAACAACGGCCTGTTGTGGTGCTTGGAATTGGAGGAAAACAAATCCCAAGGAACGAAGCTTTGTGCAAGCAAAGGGAGGCGGGAGCCGGAGAGCCCCGGAGCAGGACAAGGATTCGGCCCTCGGATGGACTCGTCACTCACTGAGACAGCCCAACCTGGGGACGGTGACAAAGCCGAGCGATTCCCGTGTCACTGAAAGCGACGGTCCCCGTCTCGACACCAGGACCTGGTTTATGGTATCGCTCCACGACACCAAGGAGACGGTTTTGACACATTGATACTAGAGAAGGACACGAGAGAGACACGTTTTATAACTCAGAGACAGGACTTAAGTGTTTTGAAGGCCGATTTTAAGTTAAAGAGGAGCCGTTTGGGTGCTTTTGAACTAATCCGCTCT